ATTATTCGAACAGAGACTCGGTATTTACGTTTGGAAATAAAACACCCATTAGAAAAACATTTGACGTTGTTAAGATAATATTGCAGAACAAGGAAACACCGAATTTGAAATCGAAATTGAAGCTCTCGTGACTGAACAAATTTCAAGTTCTGATTTACCACCTCCTAATCTTGATAGACACATTTTAGGCAAACAGAAGGTTTACAACTCGCAGACTCTTGGGATTGCAAAGAAAAAATTACTCTTTTGATAGGAGCTGATCATTATTATGTAGTAACTGGGAAACTTAAGCGTTTAAACAAACATTTAGTAGCTGCTGAAACGTCATTCGGTTGGTCTCTGCTAGGTTAACTAAAGGTCCAACACACACGTCCACAGCCTTTAATATCATAGTTGAGGAAGATATAATATCTGATCAGATAAAGAAATTTTGGGAGCTTGAAAGTTTAGGTATAAAACCTGAAAATGAATCATCCGACTCATTAGACAATACTATAATAGAAAAATTCAATCGGAAATTTTATACAAAAATTCTCGTTACAAGGTTAGGCTGCCATGGAAGTTTAATAGAAAATATGAGTTACATGACAATAAAGCGATTGGTTATTTTGATTAATTGGTAGATGGCGCTAGCGTTGCGTGTTGACTCGACGTGCCTTCTGAATTTCCATAGACTCTTCACCGGCAGCTCGATAGATGGATGTCTGATGGCTCGCACACAATTTGATTAGAAACAATTCGGTTCCTATTTAAAAGATTTCGATTTTCGATTATGAAAGCATATAGATTTATTTGTCAACTGAACCACCATGTTTGATTAATGATCTGTAAATATTGTACATATTGAAACTTACATTTTAAAGTGATTGATGTCGATTTATAGATCTTAGAATATTTTGATACAGATATCTATATTGTTATGTAAAATAATTATTTAAATTAAAAACACTCAATGAATTATAAATAATTAAATTTCTTTCGAACCAAATAAAGTATTCGTATAAATAAATTCGAAACAAATAAAGTAAGTCTACCGTTTTAGCAAACCGTACACCTTTTTTTGGGGGGCGGGGGAAAGCAATGCGCCAAGATACTAATCGCACATTTATTAGATTAATTTCAAGCAAATTCGTATCGAGTGGTTGAATTCAATTTGGACAATCTAAGGAAATCTGGTTCATAACCACATTATATACGGAAAATGCCACATGCAGAAGAGCAATCGCTGAGGTAACTGGAAAATCATTGATCAAATTTCGTGAATACAAGACTAATTTAATACTGCAACTAATTATTCTCAAACTCTTTATTCTAATAATTAACAAGAAGTATTCTTAAATGTCATTTTTCTTTAAACTTTTTATTGTTAAATCTATTTCATTCTTCAGCATTCTTTCTACAAGGGTTTAATCACCGTTTTTAAATATCTCCTCTGGAATATGAAAACTAGTTAGTCATAACCGTACATGTCCTGCTTTCGATTCAAATCCGCGAAAAATGGCATGGCATTCAGTCTTTGCTAACCATCACATTGTAAAACCTGAAACAGATCTATATTCCAGTTTTCAACTTTTTAATATGTTCAGTTCTTTAATAAAAATGCATTCTTTTGAAGACTGGAGTTTAGACAAAATTTTGGGCAAGTATAATCAGATTGAAAACTTTATTTCGATTGTTTAGGAAATTCTTATATAAATAGGACATGATTTCGAAACATTTAGAATCAGATATTTAACTTTGCGTAACCAAAATGCAAATTGAAATGTTTTCCATGCACGTATTTACAAAAGTTAGATATTTTCAAAGAGAATATCGTATTTGTCTTTCAACAATTCATAGTATCGATAATTAAAAATAATATAAAATAATCTCTTTGGAAAAACTTTACTGCAATAGCCTACTGGTTCATGCAAGCTAAACGTAATTTTACTATTTAATTATTACGCAAAAGTATTTCAAAGCACTCTACAAGGAAAGTAATTGTAGTTTTTCTTCAAACAGAAAGTGCTCAGATTAATAATGATGTAGGCAAATTTCAAAAAACTTAATTTAATAAGGATGCTGCTTCAGAAATTTAATATTTTAGTAATTCACTAAAGACGCGCGCTATGTTCAGTGACGTTTGATTCTGATGATAAATCTTAACATAACATTTAAGTTTATTTTATTTTGATAATTGTTAAAAGTTTTGGCGAGGATTCTTTTTTTAACCAATTGAAAAGAAAACATTCTTTAAAATTTAAACGACGGCAGATTACCAATAGTTTATTCACTGTATATACTTTTACTGCGTTATATACTAGAATATATGTAAATATTCGGAATATTCCATCATTCACGTTGTAGAAGGGGTGTTGGTTAAAAAACGTTTGATTCATACCATTGCTTCAATACAAAATATTTCAGTACAACATTTATTACTTCTTTGTATTTAGAGCCTAAATTAATTTTAATGTTCTCACCTGTAGCAATACGTTATTGTAATAAGTCGTTTTCAAAAGTATTTGGAGTGAAAACAATACATTACTGTTGCACTTTACGAACCATAAACCACTAATTATGTTCTGGAGGACTCCGAATGCAATTGCAATCGATATTAAAATTATAGAGACGAAGCGCATTATAAATACTAATGGAGATTTAATAATATTTCATATTAAACTATCTCAATTTTTACAGATGGGATAATGCATCGGAAGGCTGAATAATTTGAGCTCAATACTTCCGTCAAGAAGTCTAAACGAAATTGGCTCATTCGGTTCAGCAGTAGGCGTAACCATGATAACGGCCATGCAGACATGGTACAGGAATCTTCAGTTACCAAAATCCAAACAGAAAAACCATTTCTTAGAAATCTTAGCTGCAGATCTACTGGGAAGCTCTTTAACGAAATAAGATAAAAGATTTGAAAACGAAAATAACTTTTTAAACATCATATATTAATTCGAGGGCTATATGAGAAGGAAGAGCGACTCCATGGAACATTTTCGTAAGGTAAGTAACGGAATTTTATTTGCGCTACGTAACACTAGGAATGCTATGGCCTAATAAGTGGACTACAATTTAATCAATGAAGAAAAGAAATCTGATGTACAATGGCTTCAGCCACAGCCTAGTAAGTAATATAAAAATCCATTACGTTTCAGTTAATCATTTCATTTCAAATCAACGTTACTCTCTTCCCCAAAATGGTTGACATCTTAAACAGTTAAAATAGATTTTTCAAACGTGTGTCGAAATGCATACTTTCACGATTTCCTACAAGGGTAGAAAACAAAACTATTCTCTTTAAAACCTATTTGGAGAGACGAGAGATTAGTAGTTTTAGTCACTTCCCAGACTTGGCTCGAAATGCAATATTACGTAATGTTCAAATTAGAACGCACATAAACGAATTTTTATTCCAAAATGACGGAACTTTAAACACAAATTTAAATTTATTTCTGGTCTCACCCTCTTGACTATTACGAGAAAACAGCTCATACGTAAATCAAAGTATCAAAATTTCATGCTACTTCCAAATATTAAAGATTACAAAAAACGCGGTTGATATCTAACGAAAGAAAGTTCATTCTTTCTAAACAATATGTCTAAAGCTCACCGATAACTTAAAGTATGTTTTACTGTTCGTGATATTTAAATAGTTCTCTACCTAGACTGAAAAGAAATGCTAGCAGTAAAATGCAGACACCAAGATAAAAGTTTAATTTTTTAGTAACACATAAAAAAGGCAGCATTCCTTAAGCGAAATCTTAAACTCTTGATGAGTGTTTAAAGTTTGATTGGCTTTACTGCACAAAACCTTGAAGGTTATGCACCAGACGAATGGTGAATAAAATCCAAACGTACCAGCACACTGTATCAAATGAATTGTTATCATACCTGTAATGCTGATGCAAGTATGTACAAATGATTGAGAAATGTTCTAGCAACAGGTAGAGCAAAATAAAAGGGAAATAATTCAAATCATACGATAAAAAGATAGTCTTAAAAAATCTTAAGAGCTTGATGTGAGGGTTTCTTCCAATGAGATCTGTTAACATTCGTAGAGATAAAATGATAATGACGTTTCTGACTAAAAGCAGGGCAGCAAATATGATTGAAATGGGAGCATTGCAAGTACCACAAATCTCTATAGGCTCATTAGCGCCTTTCGAGACCTACAGGTGTGTCAGTCTGAATTGACCAATTCGTAGGCGAGGTTTTTTTAGCGGTAAATCCTCCTTTCGATTTCCTTTCTACTCCCAAATTGCGTTTCACCCGCTTTAATTTGTTCAGAGTTTGGCATTCCCAGAGTTCTTGCCACCTGTACATGATCTTTTCTTTGATGTAATTCCGCATGTCTGTAAAAGGGACATCATTTTTAGAGGTAACATCAGTTTTGCTGCAATATTGGCGAGTTCATTGCCTTTGATGCCAGCATGTCCAGGCAGCCAGCAGTAAGCAATATAATAACCTGCGTTTCTCAAACGAAGGTGTGCCTTTAAAATTTCCGAGACGAAAGGGTGGCTAGTATTTGCATTTATTGATTCAAGAGCCCTCAGTGTCGGTGAATTATGAAATTTCTCTTATTCTGCTTAGAAATAAAGGTTAAGGAATTCAGAATGGCAAGAATTTCTGCAGTAATTGCAGAAATGCTTACTACTTTCGATTTCTTTGTCGCAAACAAAAGCTGCCCAGAATTTATGATTATTTGAGCCATCAGTAAAGAGTTTTTAAAGGATCGTTTCAAATTGATAAAATAAGTGTTTGAGTAGTTTAAAATTTCATCATGCTAGAAAACTTGAAGGAATTTAATCCTCTTCATTTCATGAAATACAAGTTCCTGTCTTGTTTTTAATATTCGAAATCAAATTGCTTAAAGTATATTGCACTAAACGATATGTTTGATGTTCAGATTGTTCCTATTAAAATTAGAGATCCAATTTCGTGCACTGATAAGTGGAGTGTGCGTTTAAGATCACTTATTAGTTAAACAAGTTAAACAAGTCCACATGCAATAACCACAAAGCTTCCATGAATTTATTCTTTTTAAAATTCGAGTAAGGTACATAAATGACAGCAAAATTCTTGATATCACTTGACTAGAAGCGAAGTCCTTCATAATCTGAGGAAATATAGACCAGTCAAAGTCAAAGCCGTTATGAAGACTATACTAAGGGTGCGATCTACTCTCTCTCCATCTGGAGCGACATCATCCCAAGCAATATACAGAAGAATACTCCCATAGATTCCACCTCCTATAAATCCAATTCCAATTGCTTTGTAAGATAAAGGCAACAAAAATCTTATTGTTCTGGAGGTTTTGGTCATTGTAAAGCAGATATAAAGGCACCAAGATTTGGATTAAAGGTTTATGTCGAGTCTAGAAAGTAAAGTAAATAATGTTATTTTCGTATAGCTTTCCTCTTAATAAAAAGAGGTCTTATTTTATATAAATTCATCTTTTACATCCAATTTTTGGTATTAATCTATATTAATACAATAAATGCGAAAATTTATGCGCTGAGATTAAGAAATTTACTATATAGTGTGAAAACCTCAAAAGCAAATTTTTGAAAATTGTATAAATCTAAAGTTTGTTGTCTCAGTAACAGAAGTAATAGCTGTGGAATTTAAGTTTACTAAATAAAAAGTTCAAATTTCTTCTCTAAATAGTAATAGGGATCTTGAGAAGCTAGGTAATATTTCAAAACAATTACACGAAAACTTAAATGCACGCGAAATTTCGCATAATAAAACTGAACTTCACATTTAAATGATCTAATGAGCATCAGTACCCACATTTAGTATAAAAACGTGTTTGAAGTTATTACTTTAAACCATATCGCTTAATGTATTAAGTATAGAAACCTAATGTCAGATTTCAGCAAATTTTAGAATGGGAAAAAGAATTTGTTTCAAGATTATATGGATGACAAAGATTAGAGGACTTGCTAAACAGCTGTACGAAACTTTAAAATTCTTGAAATATCCGTTTCTGGTGGTGGTGCATTTAATTATGGCAAAGCACACTAGGGCTATCTGCCTAAGAGGAGGGATGCCTTCGTGGAGGACTTTCTAAGGGAAACTGGCTCGTATACACGTTACACATGGGGAAAACCACGAAAACACCCATGCAGCCAGCCCATTCGCGGGATTCGAACCTCGGACCGAACTACCAGTTTATATCCGTTTCTGAAATTTAGGTTTAACCCGGAACACAATGCATTAACTCGATATTTTATATTTATAGATACTCATTTTTCTATACAAACTGTACAAGCCAATCTAAAAATGCTATTCGTGAATGTTAGAATATATTCGGTAAGCTACAGATAGAACATTTGTAGCTCGACCTGGTTTCAAATAATGACGAATGAAAGTCTGAATGGGGCTTTTATACTACCCCTCCTATTAGTGAAATTAATTCCAGCCGACTTCCCTTAAAGTCCTTAGGGAAGGCATTCGTTCCCTCAAGAGTTAACCCTTGCGTGTTTTGTCGTAATCAAAGTAAACCATAAACATTTCCTAGAAATCACGACTAGTAATTAAGAAAGTAATAAGAAACTTCTGTATTCTTCCAAAAGTTTTAAAAACTGAAGTTTTTGGATAAATATTTAAAAACTTTAAAACAGCGCTTTTATTAAAATATGCAAGTTTAGTACACTTGCACACAATGACTAGGGCAAGATTAGGAGAAAAAATTACATCCGAGAAAACTTATGCCTAGATTTAAACGTAGAGAAAGCCTTGTAAGCGTTTTTTGGGGAAGGAATGGGTATCAATTACAGTTTCTCAAGCTAGGAAAAGCTCTAGTGATGGCAACAGAAGTATTAAGTGCACAAATCAAAACATTGAAACCACTACAAAATCTTTCAATAGAACGAATTTCTTTACCAATTGCATATAATAAATGGCATTTACATAATACTCAAAATCGATTCAAATCACTTCGACTAGGTGACCCACCAACTTTGTAAGGTCATTAGAATTCTGTTGCATCGTTTTAAGAGTTGATTTTGGGAAAAGAACAAGGTTTTCGGAACTAAGTTCAACTGGCCAGGAAGATCCTTTCGCAAGGCAAATGCTTGGAAAAATGAGTTATTGTCGGTGAAGAAATAAGAGTATGCTTTAGACAGAGAAGGCTTTCAACAATCAAGGAAATTGCACTCGAAGTTTGAAACAAGGAGACCATAACAAGCACATTAAATTCATTAAAAATATTCATGAATTTCTGCAAATTGACCAAACTGTAAAGAAATAGCACGCGAGTGTTTTCCAGGTTTTGGATGATAAATCTAAAAAAGGACAGGACAACTGACTGAATGAGTTCGCATTAATACTCGCGTTGATCTATGCTCTTTTAACATTTATGTTCAAAAATTAAAATAAGATTCAAGATTTCGGATATACCGATATGGCAGCTCATAACCCTTTATTTCCGTTGCCAAAACGGCCACTTCGGACTGCTGAGTGTCCTGAAGGAGTTTCTTGAAAATGAAATTTCAAATCCTGTATCAAAATTGGGTGAATGTTGGCGTTCAGTGCAGGGCAGTCGGCGAAAAATATGAAGGTGTATTCAGTGTTGACCAACAAGTTTAATCTTACGATTTGCAACTATATCCCAGATAAGTTTTGACCTTAGTAACAGAAACGTATGTTGGAAATACTCTTTTTCCTTTGCCTATAAGAATTGCACGCTAATTGAAGGGTTAAGCTTAAATTTTTATGTTAACTTTGCTCGATTTTAGAATATTTTGCCAAGTATTTAAAGAAGTCATTTTATCTATAAACCGTATTTTATACATTGATATTTCTTCCATCCAGAATTTGCGTAGAATGCATGTAGATGTGGGACTCACCAACTAAAAATTAACTACCAAATTCTAAAAATATATTCATTACGTTTATATGTAAAAATTTTAAATTGAGGTAACCGACCTCGTTCGAAAGGTTTTTTTCAAAATTCTTTGTTATAATTTAAGAGATTTTTTAATTGGACTGTACTCGCACCTAAACACAATTACTACAAAAATGATAATAAACCTCATTGTAAAATTTATGCAACAAACCGAAAATTTAGATCGAAATTAACAAACACGTCAACCATACCCGACAAGAAAATGATAAGCACATTTTTTGACTTTGTTAGCCATAAACATATAATGAAGTAGTGTACCTTGAAGCCATTGATTCGTTAATAATATATAGCCAAATATATTAGTCGCTCAAAAATTAAATACATACACAATTGAAGGAAAAATATTTTAATTCCGAAAATCGGATTTTAATTCTTACGCATAATATGCACACTCTATACAAAATTGAGATTGATTCCATAAGGAACCTTTAGAGCTATCGTGGTTGCTGTAACCATAAAAAATCAGAAATCGCATTTAAAGTTTTCTGATTAACATTACATGACATATACTCAACTATTCATGTTGCTAAATAAAAATGGGAAGACACATAAAAATGCCTTACCAGATTCTCCAAACATTGAAATGCTTAAAATTAAGAAATATTAAAAAGGATGAAAATTGCATCTTTAATTTCCCTCCAAAGCTTGACTTCCGCTGTAACAGACAGTAACTATGGGTTTGTCGTCTCTCGGAAAAAATGGTGCATCTACAGTTCCAGTCAACATATCAAGAGAAGTAAAGTTATTTCTGATAGCCAATAATGTTGCCTTTAAAACGTTTAAAAAATTAAATTCAGCGAAAATCGATCTTTTGAATGAAGTCGGTTACCTTAACTTTAAATTCCAAAATAAGTTTCATTAATTTACCTTCTTATCAACTGAATATTTCTAAATGTTACTTACGTCAAAATTCATTTTCTAAAGAAAAATATTTTAAAATAAACCTTCTGTGTTAAAACAAGCGACTCTTTCATTACATTACTTTTATGTTCATTTCTAAGATATGGTTTAAAGTTATGAGCAGTTGTTCTTCCTCTGCAACACTACATTTACTTCTACCATTCTAGGTTCATTTAGAAATATCTTAGGTAATATAAACACAATAGCCAACTGGAGAAAGATATATTGTAGGAATATAAAGAAAGGTAATGATTTATAATATACTCTCATGAAACTTTCAAAAGCTTTCCAGTAAATATTAATATACAACTAGTAGTTTTCTCATAATTTGATTTCTGTTTTTGGTGGCTTTACGCAAGATAAGATAGTAGGTATAATTACTTCCTTCAGTATAGCATTTATAGCCAACAAGGTTTGGCTTATTTAATTATGGCAAAGCTCTCGAGGACTATCTGCATAAAAATAATTAAGCATTATTTTTTAAAACCAAAGGACAAACAAATGCTGAAAAATTCCTTTTAGCGCTAAAGGGAAGCCAAGCTTCAAGAGGGAGAAGGAGAAAAATTCTCTTTACGATAGTTATACATAAAAGGTGAAAGAAATCATTTGAACTGATAAATATAAAACACAGTTTAAGTAAACTCAATATTGAGCCAATTTAAAAGTCAAAGTATAAATGCAGTTTAAATTTAAAAAATAGCCATTATTCTCTAAATGTTAACCAGTTTGCTCTTAATTATTTTAATATGCATCAAATTCATGATTTTTAGCGTACAATTATTCATTTGCTAAATGTATAAAAGTAATGAGGTATCAAAATTTGCATCGTAAACCCAACAGTTTAACCGTTATGTAACACGCTCAGTATTAAACTGAATTCTTGGTAATGTTGAATGAATAAAATAATACAAAATCCAGTATATCCATACTTCACAGTAAAAGAAAGCAAAAAGCATACATATTTCCTTTAAAGGAAAACTGTCTTAAGAATTACTAAATAGAAGCTCCCTAGGCGAAATTTTCAGGTTTTTCCGACTATCAAAAAATATTGTTTCTTACGGAAATGTACGAAACAGTTATTTTTCTTCATTAAAGTGGATAATTTGAAGAGACTAATTCAATGAGAGAAGGTTAATAGGCCTATCCACTGAAGACAGATGCACCAATAAAGGAGCATTTCAAGATAATTGGCTCGCATGTGCGTCACACATGTATTAAAGTAGCTGGAAATACTCGTGAAAAGAATTGTTTATAGTCGTCGGGAAGGAAACTTTGAACGAATTACCAGTGCTCAGCTATTTGATCCTGTTCGCCAGCGTGAGAAATTTTGGCGAAACAAGAATTGATCTCTTACCCAAAATAACGGGAGTTCAGACATTCCTATCATCAGGAGACGATTGTTCGTCACACATTCCAAAGATTACTGAATACAATGAATGTGCTAAAGGAACGTGAAAAGTTAAATCCTCGTTAACGAGACATAAATAATTTCACATTAAATGTACACGTTATTTGGGGAATATCAAACATTTACATGCTTTTAACATTTTAGTGGACTTACAATTCTTATTTATTAAAAGTTATATTTAAAATATTTAATTTGCTTTACGTCATTAAAAGCGAATCGATTTTAACTGGAGGTATAATTTCAGAAGGGTTATATAAAATCGGAAAAGCCCACAATGCATTTCGTGATAAGCATATCCTACTGTCACAGACGCACGGAGAATTATTTCAAGAAGCTTCCAATCTTCGAAGGGATATTTAATTTCAAACCTAAAACCTTAAACTGTTTGAAAAATTATTACAAAAAGCAAGCAAACAAAAGAAATTTAAAGATTATCTAACAATAAATAAAGCGAATAACAAAATTATAGTTCTTTACCTCACAGTCGACTGCAAAATTAATCTGGTAACTGCGTTAGCGAAGTACTGCTTCAACCACATATTTCTCCATTTATACTGAACTTCACGGATACGGTTAACTGAAACCTATAACCAAAGAGTACTCCAACATGCATTTATTCAAATTCAACATAATATCATGAAAAAACACTGAGATGTAAAATTTGAATTAGCTTTTATGCAATGCAATTTTATAATATTTACTATATAAAATAATTATGAAGGCAGATTAGTTTTTCTCCACAGTATGTTCTAGCAATATTTAAGTGGATTATATTACCCAGCTGTCTAACTTAATATCAAACTAAAGCAGCTGTCGAACCAAACTTATGGGGAACATAGTCGAATTGAACTGAGATACTAATTTAATAATTTCCATTTTTATTTAATATTAAATATCAACGCCATCTGAACATACTAAATGTGAAACTTACTCAGATTAAAATTTCTGTCTGAAGACTGCTCAGTTAAGATGAAGTAGATAATTTACAATCTTTAGGAAGGAATTATGCTTTTTTTTTTTTTTTTTTTTTTTTTTTTTTTTTTTTTTTTCCCTTAGTACATAACTTTTTATTTGAGGTAGAAAGACTAGCAAACGCCTCGAACTCACGGTTTCTTCAAACAGACTATGACATGGAATCAATAATATCACTTTATTTTACGGTTAATTAGGTTGAGTGATTGAAGTAAAACAACTGAAAATCTATTCGCCTATCGTAAGGGAAGCCTTCGTGGAACATTGGTGCAGCCAGCCCGTTTGCTCAGATTTGACGATTCATGCTCAACGATCTTACATCTCGGCCTCTGATAGGCCTTCTTGTAGAAGACAATAATTTATATATTAAATAGCATGTGGTTTCAACTCTGAGATAAAACTTGACGAAAATAATCGACTGAATTAATATTTAAAATCGAAATTTTTCTAAAGTGAATATATTATGTAACATTTTCTCAAACAAATGGAATTCGCTCATTAAAAACAATATACAACAAATTATCGTTGGTATCATGGGTAAGCTTCAAATCCGTTTATGTTTCATGCGTTTGCGTGCATTTTATAGCTGTATTTTTAAGCCTTATACTATTAAAAAATAATGAACATCTTTGGATAAAATCGGATAGAATGATAGCAGAATAATTTAAATTGAAGTAGTTTTGAACTTTTCTGCTAAAGTCATTTTCCCTTCCAAACATCTGGTTAGGTTAGGTTATTTAATTACGGCAAATCCTCGAGGGCTATCTTCCTAAGGGAAGGGATGCCTTCGTGGAGGACTTTCTAAGGGAAACTCGCTCGTATACGCGTTACACATGGGGAAAAACACGAAAACCCATGCAGCCAGCCCGTTCAGCCGTGCAGCACACCCATGCAGCACACCCATGCAGCCAGCCCGTTCGCGGGATTCGAACCGCGGACCGAACAACCAGCGATCAGCGACTTTAACGCTCGGCCGCGGTGGGCCCCAAATATCTGGAAGGAGTTCAGCAGTTGAAATATTGTGAATGGAAGAAATGTATACAAGATCCAGCTCTTCGTCATGTAAATGTAAAATTAATTACTTTAGCTTAAATTCCAATTTATTGTAAGAAATTGGCTCAGAAGTTGTTTAAATTTAAGTTCTTAACGGGGAAAATTGCAGGGTTTCACTTAGTTTATTAATAAGTTATTGCAGGGTTTCGCTTAGTTTATTAATAAGTTATTGCAGGGTTTCGCTTAGTTTATTATTAAGTGTTAAACTGCTTTTCTGTCCTCCTCGTGTTCCATTTTCCTCCCAAAATATAAATTTCTAACTCGCGTGACACTCAAGTGAGGCAGTATTTAAAGGCAAGATTTAGGTGGACGAATCAGAACTTGTTCAGCCTGCTGAAGGCCACGTTGTTAATTTGACTTGAGAATTCTGCGGCGTCGCGTTATTCTCGCCATTAGGCTTGACATGCCGGATCTAGATCAGAACCAATTTACGCGTTTTTCTAATTGTAGAGCAGTTAGGCTAACTTACTTTTATTAGTTAACTTCAGTACCTTTGACATGTGCGATAAATGTTGGATAAATGTTGGTTTCTGTAACCACAAGTGGTACCTTTTCTTAATCTTCATTTGAGTTAAATAAATGTGTCCTTTACACCCTTTTTCAAGCTCTGTGATACTTTACGAAACATAGTGATAATTCACTGTAAGTCTTAAAACGTTTCGTGCAATTTATATTTCCAAAGAATGCGAGACGTTATAATGAGCTCCCAAATAGAGAGATGGTTCTTATCGTAAAAATTCGAAACCGAGGGTCATTTTACAAGGATGAATTAAATCAAATGTTTATCTTCGAATCTTTGAATAAGATTTATATCACACTGTAAATTATTTAGCTACCTTTGAAGTTTTTTGGCGCGTTATTCAAGTTTTGTTTTAATGATAATGAACAATAATAAAAGAGCGAACTCCAAATGATAAAAAAACCTTTAAAGCATTCTTAAAATTCTTGTCCTGATAATACTATTTTTCTTCCATGATCTTAAGTTGTTGTATTTTTTTTCACTTGAAATAACATAACAGGTTTTAAAATGTAGGAAACGTTTTGATTCTCGTTGTTTTTCACGACTGCAATTTAACGTTAAAAGCTTTAGTACAAGTATGCCTGTAAGTAAAAGTAAACTTTTACTGTAGCTCTTCACTATGAATACTGAAATAGCTCTTCAACAAGAATTGTTAAATCACAGGCACGTAACCTGCTCTGTAAGCATATACAGCCGCAAAGACAAAACCCTGACCTATTCATTCCCTCTCCTTTTTCCTGCAATAGCAAGGACATACGTAAACTCAGTCCTATCTTTGTGTATCTAAAAGTAAAAGCACGCTTTTTAAGAGAAATAAGCACTTGAAATGCATTTGTGGGCCGCATAACATTGTTTTAGACCGCATTGGACTGGCAACCACTTTGAGAACGCTGCCTTAGATTTCATGACGACCTGATGACAGTTAATACCAACATGCAAGGTCTCATATATTTCTATGGTCTCACGCTTACTTGCTATGCAATCAAAAGTAGTCATAGCTTTTAGAAGTAGCAATAAGAAAGATTTCATTGCATTTATTATTGATATACAACCTACTGCTACTTTTATCTCCAATGAGCAAAGTTTGGTTTTTATTATTATATACTGATAGAAGCATGATTGCTCTGAAAATTGTAAAAAATATTTACCCATCTCACCCAGTTTTAGTTTTTCACTCCTACGATTCTTTTATGTTGATAGCTTTGCATAAAAATTAAAGAAAGTAGAGTATTGGATTGATAATTAAGTTCTCTATAAATAGAGCTTTTCATTAACAATTTGTTATCATTTGGATTAAAATAGTCATAAAGAATTCTCGTGGTGAAAACTTTTAGCATGTGCATCTACTAAGTGGAGGATCTCAGATTAACCCCCACCCCAATTAACTTGTCGTACTTCCTGGGTTTGAGAAAAGTTTTCTTTTTTTTTCAATGACCGGAAGCTTTATTTAATAGTCATTAGACTTGCGCCACTGCAAAGACAGGAAGTGGTGGCCATTTCATTATAGGACCACCTAATAGGTGGCCACCGTAGACTTCTATGAAGAGACGGACAGTTACAACCACGCCTTCTGCGGAATTCAAACTCGGGATCATCGCTACGAACAGGTTCACTAACCACTATACCGGATGAGTGGCGTTTTGAGGAACGTAGTGTGCAAAAAACAGTAAAGGCTGTACAGAGGCATCCAAACTAAAATGTGATGGACCACAGTTCGTCACAGTCTGATTTGATAGAGTGAATCTCAGGCTTCTCGTCAATCACCCTTTAAATTGGCGATAATATAAAGAATTATAGAATTTCATAAACCATGCACCCGTAATGAAAGATGTGAATTGGCAACTCATTGTTCGAATTCCAGCAAAAGCAGAGTTAACTTGGGATAGTTCATGCTCCGAAAATAGGCTGGTAAAAATATATTTACGGGGCCCTTTGGCTGTGATTGCCGATTTTTGGCGGTACATGGACACCGATTTTGTGGAATTCTTTGACTTGTTATTTTGGCTTTCTGTAGCGGCGATTTTTGCGTTACACAAATTCAAAATAACAAGTCAAAGAATTGCACAAACTCGGTATCCGTGTACATATCGACCTATTTTCACTTAAAAAAATCAACAGAGCAGCCAACAAAAAATATATAATCTCAATAAACTACATAAATCAAACATGAAATAACATAAAAACTTCATCTTAGCACTACACAAAGGTGATATCCACTTACCTTATTTACAAATTTCTGTATATTCAGTCAAACAAAATGCCATAACAGCATCCAAAAACTTCCTGAAATTATCTGAACTAGAATATATATACTGCCGTCGCCACATAAATTCACAAAAATAAGAGTCACAAATATCCTCCTTAGTGCTGGTATCCACCGACGCTCGACCATACGCATTTTCCTTCGTACAAACAAGACAAACTTATAATGGCTTCTAAGTAAACGTTCATTTACACACCAGTCAATTAATTCTTTTTTCCCATTCGTTCCAAATCGTACAGAAACTTAAATTAATCTTACTACATTCAGCCATTTTACCGTGTAAACCACAAAATAACAACGTACTTCTTATACAAAATCCGACAAACAAACCAGCCTTTCCAAACCTTTTCCCATCATTCAAATTCACCGCAATCACGCAAACAATTACGTCATAATAGCGTTTCCATAGCATTCAACTACTCATGGTTCTATAAATGAAACAACAACTTTTCGATAATAAAACAACTTGGCGATAAACTAGGTTTACTAGGACATAAGGATGTATGAAAAAGGTACAAGAAGCTTAGGTAATTTAAAACTAGGACAGAAGTTGAAATGCAGTGAGTAGAATCATTTAAACTAGATTGGATTATGTGAATTTCAGAAAAGCACACAAGGGCTATCTGCCTAGGAAACTGGATATCTTTGTGGAAGACTTTTAAAGGAAACTAGCTCGTATTCATGTTGTACATAGGAAAATTCACGAAAACTTCCATGCACCAGACTGTTTGCCGAGACTCAAAAAAGGGTCGAATTACCAGGGTTAAGCGATTTCACCCCTCGACCACAGATGACGGAGAACGACGGCACCTGGCGTCTACCAGAGATAAGTAGGTGCATGCCCCTCCTCCTCCACTATCAAGGCTTATTGTAAAATTTAAGAATTTAGGGCAAAAAATGGTCTTACATGGCCTAGGTGGCTATACAATGGCTACAGATTTGGGAACGGGGGTTACAAGAAACATATTGCAATGCAAGAATATAAAACAGAGAAATTAAAGCGTAAAAATAATACAATAAACTAATAGACGCAGTGGTCTAGGGAGACTTCTGCTCTTTAAGTTTTGGGAATATAACGTATGTACGTCTCCTGATAGTACTTAAGTCCCTGGTGTTCTGAAGTAGCTCCTTTTTCAAGAATAAGGGTGGTGCCAGAA